TAGGCATTGAATAATAAATTTAATTCCATCAAATTGTTGTCGTAGTTGTGGACCATCGCTCAGTGGTAAATTGTATTGAAAGTAGTTTTCCAGACAATTTAGTGCTATATTGGTCCCCGTGGGAGGGTGAACTTGCCGTCCATCAGTAGGGGCTTAATCGACACGGGTTACTCGGACTCAATTCAAATAAAATTTGGCTAGAGTTCGATTTACGTTCTAAACGAGGTGATGTTAAACCATTCTTTATGCTTGTTTAGATAAAACGAGATTAAAAGACTTGACTCATTTATATGTAAAATAGTCAAGCTATTCAAATTTGGCTTAAGTTTGGACTCGGCTCAAGTTTTGAAAGAATCAAGTTTAAACAATTTTTTAGACTCGTTTAAAAAACAAGCTCAAACTCAGGTTCAAACTCGTAAAATTTGACTCGATTAACACCTCTATCCATCAGTTGGACTTGGGAGTCTTTCATTTCAGTTTTTTTAACACATGTGTAACATTAGAGTCTCATTACACTAACAAAAAATATTTTTTGGTATTATATTTTTATTTTTTAATCAATAAAATATGTCATGCATATAATTTTCTTATTTTTTACTATTTATTATTTTTAATAAATAATTACTAATCACTGAAATTGATGAAGGTACGATCCTAAAATATCCACTTCGTTACCTTATTATTATTACCTTTGACATTATTCTTGCATACAAAGGTAGACGAAGAGCTAAAGGATAAGCAAAAAAACAAAGCTAAGATGATTGAATGTCATGGTCTCATTGAGATGTCACCATTAATCCTCTATAGCTCAGTGTGTAGTCTTCAATCAAATAGATTGCACGTTTCTTGCATAGCTCCAATTCTGAATGTGGACTAGGAGAGTCAGTACAATGATTTGACAGCTCCACCTCTTAACTTTTTGGTAGGAGCAAATGTATTTTCTTTTCATAGCAAGATTGAGTGCATAGATTGGACTTTGATTAAGGTGCAGAGGAAAAAATTTTGGTACCATATAATGAATATTTTTATAATTTTTTGTAAGTTATTTTATAATTAAAAAATTTATTATTTTTGTGAGAGATTTATTATATTTTTGGGTGGTAACTATTTTTGTCATTTTTTTAATATAAAAAATATTATTATTTTTGTGAATAATTTATCATATTTATGAGTATTTTTACCGCCATTATAGTAATTATTTTTATCACTTATAATTTAAACAAGTCAAAGTTATAAATCTACGGAGTTCGTTAAGATCAATTCACAAGCTTTTGAAATGAATCTAACAAATTTTGGACTCTATAGTCATAATTCGAACATTTTGACTTTTTTTTGGTCACGGAGTCGTGATTGACTTAATTATAATGCTTTTGATGTTTTCGATATAATAGGTAACTTGTTACTATATAATACTCCTTCATAATACTGGTCAATCAATATTTGCTTAATTGAGAACATTTCGATTGATTCTATTAATAAGAAGTGGCGAACAAGATGCTTATGACTTCAACATCCTTACAAAGTTTCTTGGACATTTCTTGGGCCACTTCATCTTTTCTCTCTCCCTAATACCAAAACTTTATGTACATCATTCATGAAATCATCTTTGAGATCATGAGCTGCCATTAACCAAGCTAGCTTTCCTATCATCTAATCTAATGGTGGTAGTGCAGTTGACGTCGGCCTCATGTTTTCTCTTACAATAAGTTTATGTGACATATCTTATCAAGAATTGAGCCAAAGTGATACGAAATCATTTTTATTTTTTTTTTGAAATTTGGGTGTTCGTCACACTTATAACTCAAGTATTACCCATAATTAAATTTTTGAACTCGGATCGAATAGAAACAAAATATAAGTTAAATTGTTGAGTGAATGATTAAATGGTCAAAAAGGTATAATTCAGTTTTTTTTATTCTTTTCTTTTTTTATTATTGTACATTTCTTTTGATTAAATTGAATTTTTTAAAACCAACTTGATATGATTCTGGAGATAGAGTTTTTGTGGGGTCACGTAAGTTGCAAATTCCATAACCGTAAAAAAAGCAAAAAAAAAAAACAAAAGGTACAATAATTTTACATGACAACCTTTTGATTGAAAACATCAATTATTTGCTAAGTCCCATAAAGGGCAAGCAAGGTGCATGGGATTCCATGATGTAGGAACTGAATGTGACAATAGTTGTAGGTAGGTGAGATGCATTTTCATTTCACTTAAAGCCTATACATAGAGTGACTAGTGCGTCTGGCCTCGAAGGGGTTAGGACCCCATTTTTCATGTCTGATATTTAGCTCGTAAAACTGCACCGAGCGCGTAGATTAACTAATTTGGAATTGTTCTAACTTAATTAAGGTGTTTAGTTCGAGAATTGCAAATACAATTGCTTTAAATACTCGATAGGGAGAGTTTTGTCACCCTTGTGCTTCTGTCTCAGCTCGAATTCGGATTAGTCGGAGCCCGTTGTGACTACCCGACACCAAATGGTTTACACAAAAAAAACTGCACCGACATGCCCCTATTATTATGTAAGCAAGAGGCTCACTCTGATGAATAATTAGGATTGTTCCTGCACCGTATGGGGGTACTAGCAAAAAATGCGCAACACATAAATAAATCACGCCCAACATGGCCCTGTCATGCAGGGATGACCTAGATTATTTGAAGCCTAAAACGGTAATTAAAAATAAGGTTTTTAATTTTTAGTATAGTATTGATATTTTTTATTTAAAATATATTCTTTTTTTTTAAGATTAAAAGTACTATTAATTTTTATGTTTAATAAATTTTGCTATCATATTTTTTTTTATATTGATAGTATCACTAACCTCTAATATTTTTTGTGATAGCCAATCTGAAAGAAGATTTTATCAATTTTAATTTTTAAAAAATTCTTTTAATTTTAAATAATGATGGTCTACTGATTTTAATTTTTTAAGTTTAACAAAAAATTAAAAAATTTGGTATATTTTTCATAATACAAATCAAAAACAATTCGTAACATGATATTTTTAAGATTTACATTTCCCGCCCGGGGGAAGAGGGGGAGAGAGTGGTGTGTTTCAAATGACTTTTTTTAGGGTCTAAAATCATATAAATCTAATTTTTTTTAAGTTAGACGAACCATTTGGACTTTCTCGAAACATGGGCTTAAAAGCCCAAACTTTGTTGGCCTTGTGGTTGGGGCCGGCCCTGCTGTCATGTAGGCAAGAGGCACATTCAGGCTTTTAAATTGTACAAATTTTTACCTTAACAAAGTTGGTTTGGCTTTACTTTTTTTTTTTTTTTAACAAGTTTAGGTCTGTATCGATTATTCTCTCGAGGTCACTGTCACCATAACTTAAACTGGGTTAGAGTATGTCCTTAAGAAATAAGAATGGCTAGCGTTTAGGGTATGTGAAAAGGGATTAAACCTGAGACCTCTAAATTAATAAAAATCAAACTCAACCTCCGAATCACCCCAAAGTTGGTTGTACTTTAGTTTTGATTTAAGATTGCTAACATGTTCTTTCATTAGTCAAGATGCTCATTTCAGATAATGTCTTTATGGCCATCCGTTATTGGGTGTGTACGTCCCATAGAAAAATTTATCTTGACTAGTTAGTTAGTTCACACGTGCGTTACACGTGAACAATTTTCTAAGTTAAAATCTTTGATTTGATGTGTTGTGAACTCTACCTCTAACAAGACTTGGTACCTAACGTTAGATCAATATTTACAAAAAAAATCANTCTTTATGGCCATCCGTTATTGGGTGTGTACATCCCATAGAAAAATTTATCTTGACTAGTTAGTTAGTTCACACGTGCGTTACACGTGAACAATTTTCTAAGTTAAATTCTTTGATTTGATGTGTTGTGAACTCTACCTCTAACAAGACTTGGTACCTAACGTTAGATCAATATTTACAAAAAAAATCAAAGAAAGTAGGTTAGAGTTTAGATCAATTCCTTAATACATATTCACACAATAACTTGGGAATCTCTACATTGCATTCCTTCTTCTGTTTTGGCCTTAAGTGTTGTCATTGGTATCCAAACCTTAATGATTTATCATTTTTCGTAACACACCTCCAAACGTCAATCCGAACATAGTGATGACAGGATACAAGTGTTGGCCAAATATATTAATGAATGGGAAAAAAATAGGCAATTAATATAAAACTATCCAAAGCTCACACAGAACAATTGTTGAAGATACAAATCATATATAATGACATCCATGATCCAAATGCACCCAGAAGGGTAGGAGAAAATACTTGAGCTAGCTGAGTGTCAACACAAAAAAAGGCTATCAAACATNAACGTCAATCAGAACATAGTGACAGGATACAAGTGTTGGCCAAATATATTAATGAAAGGGAAAAAAATAGGCAATTAATATAAAACTATCCAAAGCTCACACAGAACAATTGTTGAAGATACAAGTCATATATAATGACATCCATGATCCAAATGCACCCAGAAGGCTAGGAGAAAATACTTGAGCTAGCTGAGTGTCAACACAAAAAAAGGCTATCAAACATGCAGTTACCACACAACAAAAAACATACAACCACCCCACCACTGTACCAATATTATTTACAAATAGCCAAATGTTGTTACTGACGATGCAACTCAGATTCTATGAATGTCAAGACTAACATTAAAAGTATTTGAAACACCCAAGAGAAAAAGGAGTACAAAGTATACTATACACATGCACCAAGCAATGAATTACATGAGAACAATAGCAAAAAAAAAAAAANAGAAAAAGGAGTACAAAGCTTCACATTACACATGCACCAAGCAATGAATTACATGAGAACAATAGCAAAAAAAAAAAAAATGAATTACACAAGAGAAAAGGTAAATATACCTTAATGTAGGCAAGTTAATAGCAAGCACCATTAACTTACTTGACCTCCAGCAAGCTTGTTGTCCCAGCTAAGTATACTATAATCTAGGTCTCCCCAGAAGGCACCAACATGTTTGGCGATATCTGGAGTCATAGGCAGTTGAAGTTATGAAGAATTTCCAGTAGCATAGTACAACCAAGCTGCACCCCACACATACTCATCATAGTAATTAGTGGAATTATAGAAAATAGAAGCATCGGCACCACCAGCACTATATCTGCCTTGCTGATCCCTGGAAAACTTGAAGAGGGTTCTGGCACCATGTACAAGTTTTTGGGAGTAAGCCTTGTTATCCTCAAAAACAATGGATGAGGAAGCTAAAGCAGCCATCTCTCCAGCAAGGTCTGAGCTAGTGTTCCATTGATATGTATGAAGTACCTTGCTGCCAAAAGTTGTAAAACAATACAACAGCAAGCAAACGAATCAATNGGAAGCTAAAGCAGCCATCTCTCCAGCAAGGTCTGAGCAACTATGGCATTCATATACGGGCTGAGCGTAATCAATATCATCCAAGCGCATCCAACAATAATGATCATTAATAGTGAGAGAATTTTTACCTATTGACGCAGCCTGATGATATCACCACACAGAGAGAGCTTGTTAACAATAAGACCAATGTGTGTGAGATTATAAAGTTTAGTTTCAAGTAACGTAATTATACTACCTTGATACGAATTTCTTGATTTTTATTTAGAATCCCAAAACTTGTGTTCCATTGATATGTATGAAGTAAGTACCTTGCTGCCAAAAGTTGTAAAACAATACAACAGCAAGCAAACGAATCAATCAGACAATCACTAATACTTTTTTTTTAAGAAAAAAATGGATTAGTGCCCCCAATCTCCACTATTGAGTTGTCAAAAAAGAAAAAAATTCAGCAAAACAAACAAAATTATATTCAATCAAATATATTAATTAAGTATGCATATATGTCTATATACATAGAGAAGAGAGGTTTGTCCATAATATATGGTACATACCACCCTTCTATGGCTGGATCACAACAACAATTCAATTTCAAGAAACCACATCTACTATTCTTCAATTCGACATTTCATCAAACATTAGTCATGCATCATCCAAAGCACTACACTTCACATACATAACAACAATGACATTACAAACGAACACATTACCACCAATCACATTATTGCAAAGTAAACTCAGACAGTAGAGGAGCAAGTTAGACGCTGGGTGTTTCAGAAAGAGGATGATGGGGGTGAAGGCGAAGTAGTGGTGGCTATAGGGTAGTGTAGGGGACGTGGGTTGGTGGCATGAAGAGACAGAGGGAGTTACATGAGAAAATATATCATGGGACAGAGCAATACAAAAAGATGTAACCGAAACTGAACCAATTTAAGAAGAAGCTGTAAATCTGAGAAGTCACTATCAGAGAGCATTAAAGTGGGAGTGAGGGAGAGGAGGAAGGTGGAAAGAGGGAAACTTTTCTGTTTTTTTATTGACTACTAAATGCGCAGGAGAGAGAGAGACAAAAACTTCTGAACACCAGACAAAAACTTCTAAACACCAAATAGATTTAGAAAAATGGAAGTAATTGTGAAATCTACACCCTCATCTTTGACCAAGCTTTTGGGTGGAAAATAATAAATCGAGTTACCAACCATGATCATTTGCAAAAAATATAGACATTTCATTAGATAGATATTACTCACTGAGAAATAACACCGTCGAANGCCCGCACCGCCAGCCTTAGCATCAAAATCTTCACCAAGCTTTTGGGTGGAAAATAATAAATCGAGTTACCAACCATGATCATTTGCAAAAAATATAGACATTTCATTAGATAGATATTACTCACTGAGAAATAACACCGTCGAATTCCGTATCAGCTCCAGCTGCAAAACCAAAATTATGTAAGCTATAGCCAATATTGTAACATTAGTCAACAAAGATCATTGGTGGACCTAATTCACTTCAAATATTTCAATAGGGTTGTGCAATACGATTTTGCTGTCTAGGAGTGCTTTAACAAGAAAAGAAAATATCTTCGTAATATCTGCAGTGTCCAACGCCTTTATGCTATAAACCTAGGGCAGACGATTCATCGTGAAGGATACCTTAACACCAAGGCTGCTTCGAAACTCATTCTTGGAGACAAATGTTGCTTCGAAACTCATTCTTGGAGACATATGCTGCTTTGAAACTCCTTCATGGCTTCTTCAAACTCATCATCTTGGTAAGTTTTTACAAAAAAAGGTATATATATCTAATCATTTTTTTTCTTTTTGCTAGTCATGTCCAATGTTTGATGCCATTGAAGATGCTTCGTCAAAAACTTCTTAATGGTTAAATAAGACACAGAAAAAAAGGATTGTCTAATCACTAAAACTTATTTTCATTCCTTTTGTTTAGCCTTCTTCACAGAGTCGCTCTTGGGATTTTACAAAACCTGTTCACTTTTTGAATAAACAATTAAAATACTTCAAAGATTTTACAAACACTGAGTTGTTTTTCTTAATGTTGNAGAGAAAAAAAGGATTCAGCTTTTGGTCTAATCACTAAAACTTATTTTCATTCCTTTTGTTTAGTCTTCTTCACAGAGTCGCTCTTGGGATTTTACAAAACCTGTTCACTTTTTGAATAAACAATTAAGAGTAATGCTACATAGACTTAAAAAGTAGACTTAAAAATTAGACTTGATAATCTCAACCGTTGATTTCACTGTGAATCCCAGCATTTATTGGAACCTACTACCTATTCAATGGTTGAGATTATCAAATCTAATTTTTAAGTCTACTTTTTAAGTCTATGTAGTATTACTCAACAATTAAAATACTTCAAAGATTTTACAAACACTGAGTTGTTTTTCTTAATGTTGGTATGTATAATGACACTGCCTAGTAGAATTTTTATATTTGGTTTCCGCCTTCTAAAATATTCTTTCTAGAATGTCCCCAGCCACTCTAGATTTATTTAAATTCTCTTAGGGAATGTTTCGAGGAGAGTATAATGTGGAATAAGATTGGACAATTAATTACAATTTAACCTAATGCCAGTAATATTAGGTCACCCACATTATCTTGTTCTCATTATATCGTGTTTGGATGAATGTTTGAATAAGGTGTACATCTATCATTTTAATATTAATTACATGTTTAGATGAGAATTAATGTATGATATTAAATTGTAAAAGACGGTGTTAACCTGACATCAACATATAGCTATCTAACCTATACGGATACCCTTTCCATGTTAGATAAGCATGTCTCATTTAATATCATTGGTCAACATTGTGTAAANGGAGAGTATAATGTGGGATAAGATTGGACAATTAATTACAATTTAACCTAATGCCAATAATATTAGGTCACCCACATTATCTTGTTCTCATTATATCGTGTTTGGATGAATGTTTGAATGAGGTGTACATCTATCGTTTTAATATTAATTACATGTTTAGATGAGAATTAATGTATGATATTAAATTGTAAAAGACAGTGTTAACCTGACATCAACATATAGCTATCTAACCTATACGGATACTCTTTCCATGTTAGATAAGCATGTCTCATTTAATATCATTGGTCAACATTGTGTAAAAAAAATTACACTTGAAAATAATGTATAACAAAAAAAAAAAATACCAAGCAATATAGGGCCACTATTCAAAATAAAATCAATAAAATATATTCTAAAAATAACTTGGACAATATCAATCTATGTACACAATTTATAAAATCAAAATAATAACAATAAGTACATTTAAAAAAAAAAAAAAAAAAAGATGACTCACATCACCATCCTTTGTAAAAAAATCGAAGGAGCTGCAAGTGAGGGAGATGCGAGAAAGGAGAGACGTGACATAGGGAGACATGAGAGTGCAGTAGAAGTGAGAGATTGGGAGAGGTTAGAGGGCAATAGATGTCACGTGAGAGAGGNATACCAAGCAATATAGGGCCACTATTCAAAATAAAATCAATAAAATATACTCTAAAAATAACTTGGACAATATCAATCTATGTACACAATTTATAAAATCAAAATAATAACAATAAGTACATTTAAAAAAAAAAAAAAAAAAAGATGACTCACATCACCATCCTTTGTAAAAAAATCGAAGGAGCTGCAAGTGAGGGAGATGCGAGAAAGGAGAGACGTGACNTTAAAAAAAAAAATGACTCACATCACCATCTTTTGTAAAAAAATCGAAGGAGCTGCAAGTGAGGGAGATGCGAGAAAGGAGAGACGTGACATAGGGAGACATGAGAGTGTAGTAGAAGTGAGAGATTGGGAGAGGTTAGAGGGCAATAGATGTCACGTGAGAGAGGGCAACACTTGGGGCAAAAAATAAAGACGCGCGAGAGATATTAGGTGGGAAAATTTTCAGGAATGACTTTTAGCCATTAAATTTATTTTGGATTAATTTAGAAACGATCTGAACTACAAAAAATAAAAAATAGTTTTATGCCTTTGAAAATTTTGAAATGTCTTGTATTTTATTATATAGATCTATAATATAAATTATTGGTTATTCCAAGTATGGGGTGTTGGAAGTTGGATGATATTTTAATATCGGACTAGTACCAACAAAATCATTAATATCGGGTCTTATAACTTAATTCAAATTTACTATTAAGTGACCATTGGACTAAATTAATCTAATCTCACCCTTTAATACACAAACTAAACATAGTAAAGTATAAGAGAAAATATCGGTTTAAAAAAAAATCAAGTTCCTTCTAGGTTTTACAAAATACTTTTATACGACTCGTAAAACAAATGTCTTATTTCTATGTCCTTCCAAAATCATCTCCATATTTCATGTTTTTTTTTACCAGAATGCCCATTTTGACCCTTGATGCATGTTGTGGAGACCTCGACTATGCTGAAAATACATATTCATTGTTATTTGGATTAGCTTTACTAACTAAATTTGTTAGGTAGAATTAGTTTTGTTGAGAAAAGATGTCGAAGCTGGTGCAAATTATAAGGAAGAGGAACGAGCATTTGGTGCAAGAGGTACAAAGAGGCCGACACTCATAGTCAAGCATCAAAATTTAGTTTCAAAACAATCGAGAATTTTTTGTTGTCAAGGAGATAGAAACGAACGTAACCATATTTGATTAAAATTTCAATGCTTCCATGTGTTTCAATATTTTTTCACTGATGTTTCGGATTGTTTTGACATGTTTCAAGATATTTTGATTAATATTTTAAAATATTATGAAAATAATTTTTCTATTTTTCTTTTTCCAGAATTTTCATGCATGGAAGAAGAACCTCTCCGTTGCTTTTAGCGTTAAAAAACCAACTTCTAGGGGTTAGTGAAAGAGAAATAACAACCCATGTCTAGTGGTTAATTCCTAACAAATGGGAACTCCTAATCCATTGGGTGTCTTTCACCTTTTTACATTCAAACAACCAACTAACTATCTTACCCGAGTTGTATCCATCTATGGGTGCCCGAATTTTAATCCAAAACCCGAATGCCAGCAATACCAATCTCAACAATATGGCCTAATTTGAAGCCTCTGTAATGACAAAGTGAAAGCACAAAAATGGGATAAGGAGCAGAGGACATAGGTATAACTTCACTTATTCTGTGATACACAATAACAAATCACCTATGAGAACAGACAGATCGCAGTCCCAAGACAACTTGGTGCAAACTTTACTAGTTACTAGTTACTAGTGCAACTAGAATTTCATATTGAGAACCTTACCTAATGGCTGATAATGTTTAGGAGCCTGCTCATCACTCAAACTATAGCTTTCTCTGGAAATCGATTCCTCGCGAAGTGCTGTTATAGCAGCCCTTCTCCTTGCTTTTTGCTCTTTCCACCGTCTTATATGTTCCTCAAGTGCTGCTTTAGCCTTCTCGGCTGCCTCAGCCCTGCTTGCAGCCTGTTCTGCTCGTGTTCTGAACTCTCCAATTTTCACTGTCGCGATATCCAGCTCCCTCTTCAAAATTTCTAACTCATACCTATTTTCAAATACCGGCTCTAGAACATGATCTGCCTTCTCAGCCTTATTAATCAAGGTCTCATATTCCTCCATTGAAATTGTGATAACAGCATCGGTGTCATTTTCTCTCTCTTCTTGATCATTTCGTGTAATTTCTTCATCATGAGAAGTATTTTCACATCGGGCTTCGCCGCTGAGGACAGAGTTCTCAGTTTCTTCAGCCTCCTTACCTGATTCTTCTTGTAACCTTCGAGTCTCTTTTTTAGCTGCTTCTGCTTCCAATGCTAATTGCTGGACTGCACGATATAGGCCAGACTTTTCGCCCATTGCTCTTGCTTCAGCTGCCTCAGCGGCAGCAATTTTTGACCTCCCTTTAAGAAGTTCAGCTTTCAGCAACGCTATCTCAACTTGTGCTTCAGTCGCTTTCTGTCTGGTCTCATCCATCTCGATTTTAATCTTCTCTAACTCCCCCGTCATTGTTTCAATATCACAATTCAATCCCCTCACCTCTTCCTTTGCTTTACTATGNTGCCTCAGCGGCAGCAATTTTTGACCTCCCTTTAAGAAGTTCAGCTTTCAGCAACGCTATCTCAACTTGGGCTTCAGTCGCTTTCTGTCTGGTCTCATCCATCTCGATTTTAATCTTCTCTAACTCCCCTGTCATTGTTTCAATATCACAATTCAATCCCCTCACCTCTTCCTTTGCTTTACTATGTCCTAACTTTAATTGATTCAGCTCCGTTTCTAGTAAACTGATATAAACTGCCTGATCTGAGTTCTTTCTTTCCTGTAATTCCATGTTCAATTTTAGTAGGTTTAATTCTTCGATGGCATCAGTGGCAGCTTTTTGGGATGAAACTTGTAGCTCATTCAGTTGTTTAAGTTCCAACTGCAGAGAATCAATAAACATAGACTTTGCCAGTAGTTGATTCTCCCAATTCTGCATCATGTCAAGCTGTTTTCTCATGCATCCTAGCTGTTCCTGTGCTTCGACTATGTCAGCTGTCGCTAATTCTAACTCGGCCTCTTTTTCAGATAAAATTGCACATTTTTCTTTCTCTGCCTCAGTAGCAGCAAGATTTGAGTGAAGAATAGTCTCATTAAGCTCTGATACATGCCTCAGAAGCCCTTCTGTCTTCACCTTCTCCATGCCTAAAGCAGTTTCCGCCATTTCTGCTCGTGTCATGGCCTCAACGTTTGCTTCTCCAACCGCAGCAAGTTCTGTTTCCATGCTAAGTAGTTCCCCTTGTGTAGCATTTGACTCCCTTATAACCTGTGAAAGCCGCTCTCTGACCTTTTCAGTCTCCACCAGTTGATCAGCCATCTCCTTCATTTTGGATTCTAGTTCTTCCTCGCGCACCCTACCTTGTCTACATTCGTTGATGGCTAAATGTTTCTCAAACTCGTACTTCTTTAGTAAGCTTGAAAGTTCAGCGGCTGTTTTTTGATTGTGGTCTAGCCTTTGAACGGCTTTTTTATAGGCAGAGTCCTTTGCCTCCAATTGAATCTTGACATTGGCCAAGTCCTTTATTAGGCCTTCAAGCTCTGTCACCTTCTCCAATTCCTGTTGAGCAAAAGAAAGAACAGAAAATTAGGCAGGAAAAGTACCCAAAAAAAAGTTCAATTCCCTTGTCTGTGGGGTTGCTGATGACAGTCCCTGATGAGGTAATGGTGCCTAGAATACGTGTCATCCTTGATCTTCTCTGCAACGTTCTAATTTTATCAGACGTCCCAAAAGGATCATTGGGGCTAGAATGCACAACGTCATTTACCACAAAAAGAAAAGGAATCAACCATGTAGTATATCTACAAGCTGTTTCATATGGAACTATTTTCAGCCTTGCAAAATGGTAGTTAGTATAGAATTTCTACTTAAAAATTCCATAAATTTTCCCGATGATACACATGTATAAGATTTAAATTTCAGCTGGGAACAATTTCAAACGAATTGAACTCACCTAAACAACGAATTTGTTAGTCACAAGCTTTATCTTCATAGATCAAATCCGAATTTTAACATTGGATTTCTAATCAGGGAAATAGAATTGAATAAATCGAAATGTACTTGTGTTTGCAATGCATTTTCAACTTACATCACTGCTACAGGATCGGATTTTCCTCTGATCATTTCTCTCATCAAACAAGGTGATTGCAGCTTGAACTGATTCAATTGATTTCGTATCAATCTCCCCCATATTTTCTCTTCTTTTTTGGTCAGCCATTTTTTCTCTTCAGAAACTCCAAATATGGCCCCAGAAAATCTGCTGCACTTGAAAACCCAAAAAAAAATATATATTACAAGACAAATCTGACTGCTAGTAGCTTCACTGGCTTTGTGGTAGCTTGGAGTTGGGGTGTTGGGCCTATGAGGAATTTAGTTTGTATGTGTAATTCGGATGATAACTCGACCCGAAATAATATTGCGTGATTTTTTAATGGGAGGGGTTGCCCCCGAGGAAATTTTTTTGGGCCTGTTTTGTAGCCCAGTGCATAAGACATATAAAAAATCGCTACTTTGGTGATTAAGGTTTGATCGAAGTATATAGTCGCTCTCTGTAATCCTCTCTCTTAATAGCGAAATCCCTGAAAACTTCGTGTACATAGGCAAATTGTCGAACCACGTAAAATTTGTGTGTCTTGTTCTTTCTTATTCCTTATTGTTTTATGTTATTAGTTTGTTCTTCGATTGTGTGTATTTGTTTGTGGATTTAAAGCGTATTAAATCCCAACATAGAGTTCTTACTAAATTACAAGAAATATTTTTATTGACTTGACAAAATGCAGGCATTAAAAAGTACTTTTCACCAATCATGATGCAAAATTACTTGGGGGGAGCACATTTGAATGTCTTATCATCCACCTAAAAGATGATAAGCTAAGTATTTATGTTTCAACACAAACTAGATTTCTGGGACTAACACATGTAAAAAAAAATTTAATTATCAACATGGCCGTGAGATTCAGACACAAGGTGTCCTTCTTTATATTATGTTAACAATAATCTACTTTAAAAACTTAAATTGTTAGAGAGCTTAGTAGTGCTTCTAAAATCATAAATGAGTCCATTGCGGAACATCTTACTCATCAAGGGAAACAAAATGTAACCTTGTGGATGGGTTNTGTATAGTCGCTCTCTGTAATCCTCTCTCTTAATAGCGAAATCTCTGAAAACTTCGTGTACATAGGCAAATTGTCGAACCACGTAAAATTTGTGTGTCTTGTTCTTTTTTATTCCTTATTGTTTTATGTTATTGGTTTGTTCTTCGATTGTGTGTATTTGTTTGTGGGTTTAAAGCGTATTAAATCCCAACATAGAGTTCTTACTAAATTACAGGAAATATTTTTATTGACTTGACAAAATGCAGGCATTAAAAAGTACTTTTCACCAATCATGATGCAAAATTATTTGGGGGGAGCACATTTGAATGTCTTATCATCCACCTAAAAGATGATAAGCTAAGTATTTATGTTTCAACACAAACTAGATTTCTGGGACTAACACATGTAAAAAAAATTTTAATTATCAACATGGCCGTGAGATTCAGACACAAGGTGTCCTTCTTTATATTATGTTAACAATAATCTACTTTAAAAACTTAAATTGTTAGAGAGCTTAGTAGTGCTTCTAAAATCATAAATGAGTCCATTGCGGAACATCTTACTCATCAAGGGAAACAAAATGTAACCTTGTGGATGGGTTCATAAAGCCCCAGACTAAGTTGATAACTTTGGCAGTGCCCGTGATGATGGCGGATTCATACATTCAAATGCTACATGACGCAAAAAATAATGAATTCTGGACCACCATACCAGTAAAAATTTACCCTTCTCGTATATGGTAACAAAATTTACAGCTTAGAGAAGAAAGAGAGAGAGAGTACCTGAAATAACTGGAACAAAATTACCTTGAAATCTGGAGAATGAAGGGGGAGAAAATAAGGTATACATAGGAGGAGTTGCAGTGAAGAGTCCAAAGAAAATATGGATCATTGGATTTATCAATTAGGCCTCAAAGGCAACGTTGTGCTGGTATTGGAGGAATCGAGGTGCCAAATTTGGTTTTCAGTAGAAGGGTCTGGAGTTTTAGAAAATGGCAAACAACCTCGAAGAGATCGACCAGTAACCTAAGTTCTGTGCATGCGTCTTCTTGTGTTTATCTTTTCATTTACTTATTGAGATGCTTACCAAAACTTATGGCAAATATTTACCTCTCAATTTTCTTAATTTTGCAAGGTTTGACTCAATCGTATAATGAAAGTTCCATTCGCCATGTACAGAAATCTACAAGAGGTTTATGCATTTTGTCCAACTAGAAACCATGATAACTCGGGAGCATTGAAACAATGAAGAAGGAAACGGCCTGAGCTGCAAAGCTAGCCATGCCTTCTCATGATTATGTTGTGAGCAAAAAACATATATTCAATGTACATATCTGACCACCAAGCTCGGGTTTGGGTTTATAACAAACAAAGCATACTCGAGCCACTTCAGTCAAAAAAAACAGGGCTCGAACTCTAGCCAAGTCAATGCCTAGAGTCACACTGTACAACAATCATNGCAAAAAACATATATTCAATGTACATATCTGACCACCAAGCTAGGGTTTGGGTCTATAACAAACAAAGCATACTCGAGCCACTTAAGTCAAAAAACACAGGGCTCGAACTCTAGCCAAGTCAATGCCTAGAGTCACACTGTACAACAATCATCATCGTGTGAAGGATTGCAATAACATCCCGAGGCTTTAAATCCGTAACAAGCACAGAAATAAGCAACTTCTCCGGCCTTCCTGCGTCCTTGAAGCCAATGATATCCCATCCTTGTTGATTATGTTCAAATACAAGAGGAAACATAATGGCGCAGCCAAATGCCAAGTTAGTGTCAAGTGATTATAGTACATCCTAATTCCTTAGCAGCAGTATCTAGAAATTCAATTGGCATTCTGGTTGCAAGTCGGCTATGAGCTTCCAATGTAAGACACTTTTCAATATTTGCTTGCCAGTCGATATTTCCTGCATTTAAGTACTGATAAGCAGGACCATGGATGCCATTTATGTCCAATTGTCTACCACTCGATTTTATTGAACCAGTGAGCAAAATAGCATGTAGTACTGATTTGCTAAGAGCACGAACATGAGCACTTGGATGAGAAATGCAACGAACAGTAGCTGGTAGGCGACACTGCATAAATTAGCCAGCTAAATCAGTGAAAGTTTTAAACTGACATTTGAAGTATTATGCCTACCCAACCACGAGACTCCCCCAAGCCTGATGATGCATAAACTTCCCAGTGGAAGACACGAGAGTTCCATTAAACACAAAATACTCTTTTCTCTTTCCCTCTTTATATTCCCTTGTCCTCAAATGGAAGCATGTATGTCATATGTGATAGGATCATCTCTAGACTAGTGTTCATAGCATTTTGCGTTATTCATACATGCTGGATTACTTTGAACAGGTCCAGTAGACTTGTTTATTTACCTTCAACAGATTTGAAAGACCATCTGCGACTACCAATCCAGATTCTCCCCCCTTGAGCACTGATTGAATTGCTATAGCTGTTGCTTCCAGGAGCTGGGCATTTTTTTTTTATTATGTTAGTACATCATTCTTTCAATGTTATAACCATGCACAAGCACTTAAAAATTATTAAGCAGACAGAAACACACTTCCCGCTAAAGAAAATACTGAAAAAGTTTAGAGATATTACCTCCAGCTGTGGTAAAGTGCATGCTTGTCCATCAACCAACATCCCATCTGTGGCACGAAGGAGGAGATCCGACGCACTTGCTAAAATTACCAATGATTCTGGATTATCCTGATTCCTCATTAGCTCCACAATCAGCTTCACTACACGCTGGTTGATTCTCCACATCTTTTGACCAAGATCATCATCTTTAGCAATCCAAGGTCGCAATTCTCTCTCCGCCTGACAAACACATGAGGCAGGAAAGTAACTAAACAGATGAATCCATCAAGCTAAAACAACTTAAAAATAAACTGGAATAAGAGACCGATAACAGGAAGCCTGCTGTGCGGCAAATTGCCAATGTAAGACAACATAAACAAGTCATTAATTTTAGTAAGCCTTTAAACATAGCGAAGGTAGTTTTGACTTTTCTATCCTTTTGGTGTCCACCTATCATAGATAGGTGACATTTAAGTCACTGGCCCAAAAAGAGAAGTTCACGAATTTTATCTCAGTAAATAGTTCAAGTGGAGTAAAGTCTGGACCTGAAGAACAACAGCTGTTGCAGCTTTTGTAGGTGATGCTGATACCACGTTGCATAATGCATCAACCACCTGTACAGAAAAGGAGGGTCAACAAAACTAACCTCACAAATGTACAAAATCAAAGTATTGTAGCTAACATTAAATTGTTGATTATGACTATATATCACTTACATTAAAATGTGTGTGTGGGTGCCTGTGGGTATGATATGAAAGATAAGACTTGAGCAACAGAACTGAAAATTTTGTCACAAACTACTCGTCAACCAGTGAAAACATATACTCCCCTCTAGAACGTGTTCATATCAGTGGATGAAGTATGATTCTACCTTGTATCACTTGCGTCAATAATGAGGTGAAAAATATGCCAAAGGGAGCAGGGTATGGGGTTGTTTAATCCTGGTACCTAAATATGTTGCCAAATCGAGCTTTGACTTGGTCTAATTGATTCTTTTTTTGCTCTTTTCTCATTAATTTTTCCAGACTCAAGTTCTACATAAATATAATGTAGTTCTGCATGCAGCCTGGTCAGCACTCATTTTCAGACTTGTATCTAACAGTTCTAGGTTGACCAATGCAGATTACCCATCCCAAGACTACCATCACTCAAATACCACTTAAAGGGTAATGATATGCCCTGCAACTATAACTTCTTCATCATTTTATTTCTAGAACTTTTACACCCACCAGCCATAGATTATTAGCATATCTCACTAGACATATAAGGTTATTAGGAACATAGGTATAGTATTCAGGTGAGCCCCATCACATCATACCTCAAGGTATGAATACGTGATAGGATATGGGTGAAGCATACTCAATTTACTCGACTTTTCATATATTTGTTTCCTTTCAAATGTTTAGAAACTTCCACAAGCTGCGATGGTTAGTATTTTATGACACTTATTCTATATATCCACGAGTGTTGTCGAGCAAAACTTAGTGTCATCCAAGATTATCTACTTAAATCAGTGAAACTTGAAACAAGTTTCTCACTGAGTAGCATGATTGGAATCCACTAATAGTAACACCACATGTAGCAATTATGCCTGATTACCTGCCTCCATCCTTGCTGGCCAGACGTGCTTTCTGCACTAACTTGTGTTTCAGGTGATGCAATCAACTTGTGCCAAAGCAACAAAACAACAGAAAAACACAGTTCTTGTTTCTCAGCCAGAAGTGACCTTAGAAGGACTTTTGCACTGCAATTAAATCCTATATGCCTGTCCATTGTGAGGAAGTTGGCCAAATCTGAAGCATCTAAAGGAAAACTTGCTATTCCTTTACCCGTGGTACTTCCAGTCCCCTGACAAGAATGGCAAGCTTTCTCACACTCAAGTAAAGCTTTTGGATTGGCTGAATCTTCACACTGCAGGGACGATGGCTGCCCTGATTCAAAGTTGCCATAGTTGGCACCTTTGTGTTGTTTTCTGATGTGAAGCGACGCAGGAGTGTCCTTCCAAACTGGTGCACAGGTAAGGTGTGCTTCTAATGGTTCCACCTTGTTGACAATAGATGCAACAAATTTTCTATGAATATCAATGAGATTGTACAGTGAAGAAGCTCTGGAATGAATTTCATTATCCCACTTGCATCGCATCAAGACACTGAGAGCCCGCATGCAAGCTTTTGAACGTCTGAACAGATCAGAAATATGAGCTGCAACCATAGCTGCAGCAACTATCTCATTGGAACTGTAACTCCATGAGGTGCCAACGGATGATGGCTTCAGAGAAAAGAGTGCTTCTAATATTGATAATATCCTGCGAGTATGACAAACCGCAGAGTCTATACTATTTCGAGACTCACTGGGTGATTTGTTGTCTTTTACAGGCTTGGCTCCATCATGTCTATCTATGGAATCTGACTGATTACTTCCTTTTGAAATCAAAGGGAAGAGCTGAAGTTCACAAGCAAGAGCACAAATTGCAGCAAGAACATAAGAATCGAAGGCCGCAATAGATCCCTGTTTTTTCCTTTTTTTAGCTCCCATTTCTCTCTCATTTCCAGACAATGCTTGCAAGTCTTCACTGGCTTCATCAGGAGGATAACTACCTTCACCTCTTGGTCTCTTGCTCCCAATGAGCTGTGCTTCATGACTGACACAAACAGTTAACACAACAAAAAGTAGGCGAGAAGCAAGCTCTATAGAGGCACATGATTCCAAGAATAGTGAGTGGACCATTGTGCGAAGTTCGGCCATGGCAAGGTTTTTGGAGGCAGACCCAAATACATATGTGGTTTTTCTAACTTGTTCCCTGATGGACTCGCATGGAAATGTTCTCTGAAGAATGGCTTCAACAGTAGCAACAAATATTCTCATGAGACAGGCTTCAGATGGACTTCCACGAGGAAGATACTCCAAAACTTTTAGGAGAGGTATGTACAGGTTCCATGACAAAATAGGAGGTTGCAAAGGAGTTGCAACTATGATTTCAGGGAGGTCAACAGCAGACGAACTTAAAGGAATCAAGCCATAAGCAGCTTCCCATATGGTACATATTCTGCATTCAACCTCAGGGCCATGTGCACAAAGCATTGATGCAATCCCTTGGGCAGTAGCTTCTATTGTGGTTTCAGCCGCAGGCACTTCTCTCTGATCAATCGTATTTTACTGGTGGCAGTTAGCTTCACTAGCAATCATTTCTAGGTAGGAACTTCAAAACTAAATGTGTGATCAAAGAATATCTCCTTAAGCAATTTACTGAAAGAATAACAATCAAATGATAACCGCAGGTGCCAAGTACCTGCTGTTTGTACCATGAAATGTAATGGCCAAAAGGTTCGTGTTGAAGTCCAAATCCTTCAACTTGTCTTGGCGGGGGAAAAAGCAAAGCAGGCTGTGATAGTATGCGAAAGAGTAGAGCAGCTGCAGTATCTGCAGCAATGCCTGCTCTCATGGACATTGCAGTCCCAATTGCACGCAAAAAATGCAAATGCATCCAGTTCCACGGAAGCTACACAAATGGACAAACTATCAGGAACTATACGTGGTAAATTTGAATTCATTCATTAAGCTGGTCAACACCCTCCTATAAGAAACTAAAATTTATGATCACTGATAATACAACTTTCAAATCCAGCTTTATTTATAAAAAAAACAGCAACCTTTTTTAGACTTTTGAATTCCTCTGAAATATCTATGTTGTATACCAGGATGTTTTGCTGTGCGCAATCAAATATTTTTGCTTGAGAATAAATTTCCACCACATTGCATGAGAATGCTACTTAAAGCTGATCCATATTATAATACCCTCAAATAAGAAAATAAACTAACAGGCACTTCGGTTCATATTTATCATAATCTTGATTCTTTACTTCAAGTTATAGCCTGCACCAATAGACAGGACGCATAAACCATACCACACTGTTTAGAGTGTACTACCAACATGATACATATTTTTGACAGAATATTGCATGCATAACACATCATGTGTATAAGTACTAAAATCAAAATAGCATGATTTTGGCGTACCAGCCAAGTTCTTGTAGGATTTTCGAGGAAAACTAAGAACAAGAAAGACTTATGTTGTACAAACTGGCCATGTGAACAAGGGCCAATGATTACCCCTATTGGTAAGGACCCTTTGATTGAAGTTGAAGGTAATATAAGAGTAAAAAGTCAGTTGAAGCAATGGCCAAAATATCCATATTTCAAATTTCCAAACTTTGTGTGTTCATTTGTTGAGGATGTAATGGTACTACTATGCTCTCATGTGCTAATTATCCGTGGAATCCAGAGCCAACCCAGCTCAATAGCTGCCTCACTCATGTATCTTGCTCTTTTTCTTTTCTCTGTTGTCAAACGCCATATACCCTTAATATAACTGTTATATTTTTTGGGGATGAAGATAGCCACACATCGTGTAGACCCCAGGCAAAATAACGCAGCACTTAAAACTCATCGATGTATATTTATCTCGTATGAATAACAAGGAAACTGAAAAAAGGGGCAAAGATTAAAACAAGAAGAGTCCCATTTTAGTGGTGATTGCTTATCAGAACTTTGGTGGACATGTTGCAAATAAGAACTTACTGGGTAAAAATAGGANGGCAAAATAACGCAGCACTTAAAACTCATCGATGAATATTTATCTCGTATGAATAACAAGGAAACTGAAAAAAGGGGCAAAGATTAAAACAAGAAGAGTCCCATTTTAGTGGTGATTGTTTATCAGAACTTTGGTGGACATGTTGCAAATAAGAACTTACTGGGTAAAAATAGGACTACTCGTGGAAATCAGGATTCAAATAGTAAAAACAAAGATAAAATGAGCTGAATGGAACTGAAGCAACCGATGGTTAAGGTCAGATGAAACATCCATTTACAAGATTCAATAGCTGCTAGAAAATTTATCAAATTCACATTTTAAATTTTTGCCTTTTGTTGGGGGTATGAGAAATTTACTAGGTACAAAAATATAGACAGGCTAGTGATTCTGTCCTAATTCTAATTAAAATGTTCCAAACTCTGATTATTGAGGAAAAGCTAAACCTACCAAAGCCCTCATGTAACACCCATTAACAGAAATAAGCCTAACTGCTTATAAATGAGAACCCAGGGGCCACTAATCAGAAAAAGACTACATAGAATATGAACTTGCCAAAATACATATATTTTAGGCATAAAAAATAAGACTATTGTTAATACTTTCTGGTAGTGATAACTGATAACCCATTAACTGGGCCATTTTTGTTACACTAAAAAGGTACTTAGTCCACCTGGGAACACACAACCCTTCCTTTGGGCTTCCAAAACCTACAAAAATTTTGTATCTGTCGAAATGACAAGATAAAGCTAGCTATACTAAGATAAAAATTATGAATGACTCACATATATGCCACGTGATCAGTTTCCCTGATTTATCTTAAGATTGAGTTGGTATCTTCTGCATGGAAGATGACATATGTACCCTTATTCTCGACCTTTCCTCTCAGGTTATAGCATCTATGAGGACAAATATACTCATTTATTGAACAAGTTGGTTACAATATCATGAAGGAATGACACCTAATCTAAGTAACCACCCACAGTAGGTGTTCAGGTACTTACAATTTTCTTCCTGCGTTAGATGCTCATACTTGTCTCTCTCCATATTTTTCATTTAACTAAAGATATCTATAATTCAGCATTCATCATGGGCCTTTGGTTTAGCTTCTCATGCTACTTTCGAGATCATGACTTTTCTTTGTGACCAATTTATGAAATTAATCCCCCCTAAAGTATGTAAAGCTTTTGAGAGGCAATCTTTTGCACTAAGTAATGTCTGAACCCCTTCAGGTCCTACTAAGTTTCTGAGATGGGGGCCTATCACTCAGATATTTTTGCTAATCTTTTATACAACCAGCCAGCTCACGCTCTTCCTATCTCACTCGGTTACAATTACACACATGGGTGAACATGTATAGGACTACATACAGTATAGATTTAAAGTTGATCGCTGAGAAAGCAATTTTAAGTCGGTTATGTTACATGGATATAACTTACCCTCATTCCAGATGCATATTCTTCTGCTGCCCTAAGGAGTTCCACTAGTTGTACAGCAGCATCAAGTGCATCCGGCGCCCATGATGGTGGTGCCTCTAGAAGTCCAAGAAGAAGTCTTTGGGTGGCACTTGGTCTAGCAATTGCATAATAGCTAAGACATAAAAAGGGCAAAAGTTAGACTATTGCCAACAGAACACAACGAGAGGTCTGGAAACTTACCGATGAAATAGACGTGCATATGGCTCAAGAGCTGGTAGTCCTGCTACAAGATGCTCATCCATAGCTGTTATTGGAGGTGGAAGCAGAAGCGCAGGAACAGCAGCAGCTGTTAGGGTAGCAGTCTCATAGCGAGAAACTTCCTCGTCACAAACACTTAATATCACACCAGCGCCATTAGCAACAGCCCATCTTGGAGTTGATAGCATTAGCTGTGGATGCTTTCCAGAACCACGAGAAGAAGCTAAAATCCAAGATAAGTTGCTTTGAAGTTATCCTTGTTTCAAATTGTAAAATATCTTTATCGCTTTGTACTAAAAATATGATCAATAGCACATATCTGAAGAATGCAAAATGCAAAATGCACAGTAAACTCTGCAAGTTGATACATGTGACATTATATCGATAAAGGAAGTATCAAATATCGAAACTTGGCATTTTCTATCACCCGGTGCAGTATGATTTGATAGGACATTCTGATGATGTAGTGTGGTGAAAGAAACTATTTCTATAGTGAAAACAATGGCCGATGCAACCATACGGAACTTCAGCTTATGTATTCGTTGAACATTTGTGCTAAAAGAAATCACTCAACTCTCGTGATATTTATCAACTAAAAGCATAGAAGTGAGACCACATGCACAAATCATATTACATACTTCATAGCAGAAAATCTGATTACCAGTTGAAGGAGGCTTGAGTTCTTCAGCTGCATATTTTCCCATAACACCACCACACCTATTAATGCATGAAAAATTCAAGCACTTCAGGAAAAAGAAAGTGCAGAAGTGGCACCTAGTTAAGCAATCTAATTTACAAAATTACTCAAACATTCGGATGAGAATGCTGTAGAATTGAGCAAATATGTCGCTCATAAATACAGTCAGTGCACGAGGAAAAGTTAAGCAGCATGCTGGGCTAGAGTAATTAACAAATGCTAAGACAAGGAATTAATTGTCAATAAATAATGCTAACATTCCTTAAGGTTTACATTTGTTACAATGGCATGGTCAAACTTCAGATGCATGACTAAATGTCCAAAGATTGTGTGAAGTGAAAAGAAAAAACAAGAAGACGGGTGCAGGAAGAGCAGGTACATGTTGTCAGAGAGACCTTGATTATGTGACATAGTGTATTATCAGAAACTGAAGTTTAAGGTCCAGTAATGAAGGGCATGTGTACTAATCATCATTTTTCTATGTCATTTGAAAATAAAGATATACCATTGGCATACTAATCAAGCTAGTTAGTTATTTCCAACCCCATCCATGCAAGTTTTTAGACACATAAATGCAACAGCTAAGAAACAAATAAACAGTAGCCAGAAATAAACCTCCTAACAAAGAAAAAAAGATACACCATATTTGCATCAGTCTGCAATCATTTTCAAATGGCTATCCTTTCAAAACTTTAGGCTTCTCCAAGGCACCCTAATATGTAACCTGACAACTGGGTCCGCATGTAAAGTGAACTTCCAAACACCGACTCAGTCACACCAACTGTACTGTCAAGTGCTTCTACATAACATATGAAAAAATCCAGACAGACCCTGAAATGCATTTACATTTGCTAGGCACTTATCATCACTATCACTCTCCCTCAAGGATGAAAATTTTATTTCTAAACAGTCAAAACGACCGAAACGTTATTATTTCCAAGGAGACCAAAACGAATGAGTAAATCTAAATTCCAATGTTTCGAAGTGTTTTGACATGCTATCACCAATATTCCAGAATGTTTCAAGGTGTTTCAAAATGTTTTAGAATTTCTTGAAAATTCCAAAACAGATTTTTTATCCAATTCAATTCTGTGTTCGACATTTTCGAAACATTTCTGAAATTTTTCCATTTCCTAGGTGATTAAAACAATGCAAGGAAATAAATTTTGATCCTTGCTCTCCCTAATTATGTAATTTGGTTCAAAGAGATTCCACCACCACCTTCCCAAGTTCCTAATCCCCTGAAAACGATTTACTTGGGCCCTGTCACTATCCTTGTACAGAACTGGGAAATCTGCAGTCTCTATGGAACAAAAAACAGAAGTTTGTAATCTCCTCGATCCACTTCTGGCCTTCCAACGTAGTGCCAGAACCTGCCTGCGACTTTGCAATAAGGCTCCTCTTATCCCCTTTAGCAGCTCTTTGGAAACATTCCATACAATATCTGATCCGTCCCCTATTCTTTCCTCCTAGAGCTCACACCATTCTCTTTCGAATCATTCCATTAAATACATTTTTCCATAATAAAAGATTCATTTAATGTTTTCAATTAAAACACCCTCTAACTAACTCATTTGACTCATAAACTACATATATTCCCAGACCACCTCCTACAAACAACACCGTTCCGAAACCATGTTAACAACCTGAAAGGTCTTAAATTAGTTTGGTATCAGAGCAAGTAGGGGAGTGCTTTTCCTAGATATCAAACCCGCTTCTAAATCCTTATAACCTAGAATAAGTTTTTATCCAAATGGACAAATTTTACAAAACTATGCCTTCACCATAACCTGCATCCCAGAAACTTATTCATTTACCTTTTACATGCATTAGCTCTTCAAGAATGGTACTTTTCCACTCTTCCATACAACTAACACACTAATGNCACTTCTAAATCCTTATAACCTAGAATAAGTTTTTATCCAAATGGACTAATTTTACAAAACTATGCCTTCACCATAACCTGCATCCCAGAAACTTATTCATTTACCTTTTACATGAATTAGCTCTTCAAGAATGGTACTTTTCCACTCTTCCATACAACTAACACACTAATGGCATCATATGTAGATTTTGGAACTTCAAAGTTCCACACAAGCAAATCAAGGTTTACGCTCAAATCTTAGCCACTAACAGACATAATTCTATATCATCATCAATTTTAGATAGGAAAGATCCAAATATGTGTTTTTCCTACCCACCAAAATGACGTAATCAAAGCCAGAAATGGTTTGTGCAACTACTCGCACTCAGAAATATAAGCTTGTCATTTTAATCAGTCACATTAAGCTGCAAGATGGATGAATGGATAAGTGTATTAGGTTAACAGTGGTTACTAACTTAACTATAATAAGTCATCTTTCTCTTTCCCACACAAAGAAACCATTGTTTCTTAAGAGTTTGCACCTTGTCGCTTCCAGTTATTGCAGACTTTTTAACAAATCTCATATAACTGATAAGCATCCACTGCTAAAGAATTCAAGGACATGTCTTTTTTCTCCCTAACAATTGATTGGAAGGCAGCACGTAGCTAGATGAATACTTCATTAGACATATAGAGCTGCAAATTTTCGCTGTCTCCTAATATTGTAACCTTCTCTATAATAGGGTGAATTTCTTGTTCACTATTATCTAATATATTTCATTATTAAAGAAAGTTTTGTTTCTTATAAAAAAAAAAAACTGGCTCGAAATTATCCCAGATTTAAAAACATTAATTGCTTCTCACAGAAGTTCTCAATGATAGGTAGTTTCTTCTAAAGACAATGATAACCCCAAGCCATTTAAACTTGAAGAGTTGGCATGCCCACTTACCAACGGAAGTAGTCACTTCTAATACCTAGAGGTGCAGCAAGCAATATATCAGCAATCCATGGGGATAATGGCCTCAGTGGTTTTCTTTCATGTTGTAGAGAAGCTGAAAATGATTCTCCATCTGCAGATTTACTTGTCGTTGCCTGACTGCCACTGCTGCTTCTATCTGCTTCACTATGCTGTTGCTCAACCTTGTAAATTGGGCGGTTGTAATGAGTTAAAATTCGTAAAATTTCCCCACATGCCAGAGCCCACTGCTCAGAATACTCGTTCTGTGAATGCAGAATGCATTATCAGTACCAAGTCTAGACTTACAAAGCAAATTGCTAGCTTTAATGAAAACAAAAGAAAAAAGTTTGAGAGATGTCGATAAATGGGGAAAATAAGCTCAGAAACCCAAAAAAGTGAAGCACCAAAAGCAGTTTAACAGAAAGAAAAATTCTACATACATTATCAGAAATGAATTCAGAACCAACCCAAATTAATTTGTTCAAAAAGTCTCCTTACCTGATCGCTTGGACAAACCAAAGAAATGAAAGAAGCAAATGGAGGACTACTCCTATCATACTCCACTGTTCCATCAATGACACATGAAATGATAGGAAGCATAACAGCATGCCCATGCTCTGGATGATGAAGGACAAACATTGCTGGAAATAGTTGTAAATACATAAGAAAAACTCAGTCTGCAGCCAGAAGTAAGAAAGGCAAGAAAATGTTTAGAAGTGACGTGTTGGAGGGATAATTCACTATCTATATATAACAAATGGGAGTGAAATGACAATACCCAAGACATCATCGAAGAGGCGGTTTTCCTTAGAAGGATAGCGGTTCTGGATCAGCTGTCAAAAGAATATATAGGAACAGTTTGCATCATCTGTCATAAGAACTGTAATCTCAACAGAAAATAAAATTCTCATAGATAACAAGAGTGGAGCTGATTTAGGTCAAAGCATAAATAAAAGACCTCAGCTATCTCTTCAGGAAACTGTTCTGACGTAAACTGCCCAAAGTACTCAACATAGGCAGTAATTTGAGCCTACAAAAGAGAGGATAAAAAGAAAAGAAAAGAAAAACAACTTGAATCAATAAGAGATAATGAAAAGGTCAAAAACTTAAAATTAAAATTATATCAACAGCAAAAACTTAGATGATTTATAAAGATTTAAACTATCATGCAAGGTCAAGAACATAACTTTATCATCCAAAGACGTACATTTAGATTGTGATCAATATTTTGATCTTCAACCATGAGGAGCTTTAGAAACTGATGTATTTTCAAGCCAAGTATGACAAAACAGGAAATGTACCTTGCAATTGTTAGCTCTAGGTATGGGATCTTATCATAAGTGCTTTATTTCATTTGATTACTCATGCTTATTGTTGCAATTTTCTTACCTTCAAAACGTCATTTCTGAATAGACAGAGAGAGTTGGCTTTCTTATTTTGCAAGTACTTTTAAGTCTTCCTGAAGCAAACCGAATAATCACGGAAAATGCACCATACTTGTCCTATTGATGGAGGAGAATGTGGCCACATCTGAAGTGGTGGCATATTGATAACAAATAACTAGTTGAGCAGCCCTTGATCATCTAAATCTTTTAGAATAATTGATAGTTAGCATCCTATTATTTATTTCTATTTGCCCTAAACATTCAATTGTTCATATTAAACATTTTTGCATGTAGGGAAGTTTTTTGGGCTTGGACAAGAGCATACTATTCTCCATAAAACTATTTTGCATAAAAGAACATTTCACGATTATGGAAGCATTCTTCTCTATGTGAGGCCCTAATTGTTCCCAGGATCAACCTATCCACCTATTCATCTCTCTTATAATTCACCATATCAACAAGAAGGGCTACCAACAACTTCCTCTAGCTTGGCATAAACTACTTAGTAAGGCCCCAAATGTGGCGCCGGATCAAAATTTTGCTCTTTAGTATAAGAGTACTTATTTATTTTTGTTTCATTAGAAAGAAATTTATCCAACACAAAACATTTCAGAAACGAAATAAAAACAATAAATAAATAAATTTGAATTCGAAATAATGGGATTTCTTTTGGAATATCCCAAAATATGGGAATTATGATTTGTAATATCTGGTTCATTTCAGCAGAAACCGAAACGTGTGGATCGTGCAGTCAGAAACAAAACGAATCCTTGGGCCAGAATCATGACACTCTAAAAGCTAAAGATGAGAAGCCTAACAACTCTCTTGGCACTCTACAACTCAAATGATTGACACTCTTAACTCACCTCCTTTCACATTAAGCACCAATCTAATCCCTTTATCTTACATTATCCCCCGAGAGACATGTTACCGCATTCAAAGCAAGCAACTAAACACTAGCAAATCGTATCATGGAACATCAATTTGTCATCCGCTCCTATTGGAAACTCATTCAAGTCAGCTATTCACATTATCAATGATAAATACAGATTGTGCCCTAACAATACCAGTAATTCTCAATACATTTTGTCTTGAAGATTTTCCTAAATTCCCATGCAACGAAGTTTTTGGAACATCTGTTTCATGAAGTATTGTCACTGGTGCAGTGATATAAGTTTGGACCAACAACCGAGGTTGTGGGTTAGAATATAAGAATATGAGTGCAACCATTATGTGCTAAAAATGACAAGGGTTAGGTCGGTACCCAGTCCACCCCAGCCAGCACACCCAAGAACAAACCTGAGTAATGACCTATGTTTCCATGAACCAAGGTCCTTTTAAGAATACTACCACTTAAAACAAACAAGTTCTCATACAAAATGTAAAACTAAAAGTACACTACGTCTCCCTTTCAACATCTATTACAAGTTTACAACTCCAATTCATTGACGTTTTTTAAACCTATATCATTATAGCCAGAACTATTGCGACAGACAAACATAACTACATTTGTAATAAATTGTTTTCCAGAAGGAAAAGAGAAAAAATTGAAATTCGAAGTATAGGCTGACCAGACCTTGCGTTGCTGTGCATCTTGTGGTGGAGGCCAAAACAGTGAGGAGAAATGAAGACCATCAATCCACCTTNGCAACTCAAGTACAGGTAAAGAAATAACAAATCAGAAATTCGAAGTATAGGCTGACCAGACCTTGCGTTGCTGTGCATCTTGTGGTGGAGGCCAAAACAGTGAGGAGAAATGAAGACCATCAATCCACCTTTCACATGAACCTGCCATGTGAATATTTCCCAGACGAACCTTCTTATCACCAAGAAGCTACAAACTTCGACTTCCACTACTACGAATCCAGGAACAAAACATTATAACTCAACAAATTAAAGCCTCGACAAGGGACCACAAAAGTTCTCCCAATGAATTAATTACGGTGAGTGTCGAGTTTAACCACTGAATAACCAAAAACAGAATTGCTGCATCTCTCTTTCACAAATTTAACCAATTGAAAAATCATACAGATAATAATCCTGGTAAAAGTAGCCCTGCAAAGTCAATGACACCAAAATCATAAGGCTCAAATAGGATTTAATCAGAACAGAGTAACAGAAATTCACAGAAAATGGTGATTGCTTTGCAATCCACTTCATAAAACTTTAAAATGAATGCTTGGCCAAAATTCAAACTGGATTTTTTCAATGAATACCTTCTGGTTTGGTAGCATAAAATTGAAATTTTTTCATAAGCAATATGGACAATCCCGGAACTTAGAAAAAGATACATTAGACAGGTATAATTTTAATCCGGTGACTGATATAAAGCAATAAAAAGAAAAAGAAAAAAAACCTCAGCTTTATTACTTTTTAAAATATTCACTTTTTTGAGATTCAAAAAAACTACAAACTCATAGGAGATATAGGAAAATGATCCTTTTTAAAAAAAATTAAAAAAAGGCTAGTTGCGCCAATGTTTCAAACATGATATATACACACCGATACTAAATTAGTAAACTCCTCTATGTAGATTTCTCAAGAATTTTGTTGATAAAATTTAAATCTGAGAGGATGATGAATTCAAAAATTAAGATCTCTGTCTGCAGATAAACATAAACCGGGGAAAANGATAAAATTTAAATCTGAGAGGATGATGAATTCAAAAATTAAGATCTCTGTCTGCAGATAAACATAAACCGGGGAAAAAAAAAAGCCAACTCTTGTTTATCATAGAACAACTCAACTCGACAGAGCAAAAATTTATGAAAACATGCTAAGTTAAGTAGAGCTGTTTCTTTCTTAGCTCCCTAGACTACGAACACAAAGATTAAATCTTTCAATCCCTTGATCTTCCCTGGATTTTATCAGCAACCCAGAACACCCAACACCAGAAATACAACAGAGATCACCCCCCCAACACAAACTGATACATACCTAGATACACACCTACCCCTGATCTTCCCTAGATTTTCTCAGCAACCCAGAACACCCAACACCAGCCCCCCCAAAAAAAACACACACACAAACTGATACATGCCTAGAACACACCCATATAATAATTCAAAAAAGAAAAAGAACCCTTTACCTCTTTTCACTTGTCTAACAACTCTATGATCTCAAGCTGTACCAGAAAGATTGTCCAATACACTTGTTCTGAGTTCCTCTCCCTACTGTTTAGCGTAACTCGGAGATTAGGTGTGTGAGATTGTTAGATCTTTGGGTGGAGAGAGGCTAGAGAGAGAAAAAGCCAGAGTCAGTGTAGATAGAAAAAAGACACAAAGGAGAGAGAAAGGGGAGAAGAGATCTTTAGGTGCTCTCTCTCTTCTCCTCCCGCTGGGCTCACGGCACACATGGCAATGATATTTTCCGCTTGCGTTTATAGGCCAAGTGTTACGTAATCTCATCTTTCATGGGCATGCATGTGTACCCATAAAAATTACCAAAATGGGCTCCTCGCGTTGGATCAAATATTGCACATAGTGGGTGATGAATAAACAATTTGTTTATTGATGAACTATGCGAGATATTTTGCAAGAGAAATGATGGTGTCAAACTTAGGTGTATGTTTTCCTTGGGTTTGTGGGTAAGNTTGTTTATTGATGAACTATGCGAGATATTTTGCAAGAGAAATGATGGTGTCAAACTTAGGTGTATGTTTTCCTTGGGTTTGTGGGTAAGTAGATGAGATGAATTGAAATCTCCTACACTTTTTATTTTTTATTTTTTTTTATGGATCATTTATTTTGTATTTATGTGAGATGCATTGTATATGCATGATCTTCTAACTTATAAATGGTGCATAATTTAGTACATTATGTCATAAGCCAAAGAATAAACAAACCAAATTTTTGTCTCAAATTAACCGTTACATAATAAGTATAAATTAATTTTTGAATTCTATGACCTAAATTTATTATATAAAATTAATTTTGATAGGTTCTATACAATCGATAGTGTGACATTAATCATAATTTATTGAGTGATCCCATTTAATATAATTTTAAATATTTCATTTTTTGTGATTGGCTCTTATTGGGCCCCTTATGGCAAAATCCTAGTTTGATTCCTGACAGTAACATAGTTCTTCATGATTTTGTATAAGGTGTGTAAAAATAAGTCCAAATTAATTGTATAATTCTACGTATCCTGCATGATAGACTTGACATTAAAGCTAAACTTAGAGTCACAACCCCTTAGTCCACGTAATGAGACTTGGTGCAGTGACGAAGACCAACTAGTTTAACTCTTGTGGCTTTACAGGGGAGTCTAACTCTCTGAAATATATCATGCATTGTCTAATATACAAGTTTTTTATTATTGACCATTTATAGTATAAAATAAGATAGGTTTTAATAAATTTATCCAACGGTTTCAAATAGAATTATTTAACGGTCATCAACATTCCTTTTAAAACTATTCATATTGCGTTGTGTCTTCAGAGACGAATTATTCTAATTTATAATACATTAATACATGAAAAGTTAGTTTCCTATTAAAGATGTTAAGTGACTTGACAATGCTTCGAGGCTCCATAGTTGTTTGAGAGAGAGTATTTGCAGGCTTAAAATGACAAATATTAGTTGACTTTGGGATTGCAAAAAAACACTTACCAAGGTGCTATTACCTTGACTTAATAGAGAAAATGACCTAGTCATTGTGTAGTGGTAGACCACATATGCATNGGGATTGCAAAAAAACACTTACCAAGGTGCTATTACCTTGACTTAATAGAGAAAATGACCTAGTCATTGTGTAGTGGTAGACCACATATGCATGAAGATAGTGGATGATGGTTGACATTTTATACTGCAAAAACCACATCATCTTGTTATAAACTATTAAACAAATTCAATCCACTATAAAGTGGAGAAGATATATTAAAGTGATGTGAGGCTCAATGCTAGGATTTCTTAGAAGAGATAGAACAAGTTAATTAAGAATGGTTGCAATAAAATAAAAAATACCCGATAAACCAGTGTCTTATCTATTAGGATTATAAGCACATCAACTAAGTTTCAATTGTAACCATTTTCTCACCCAATTACTTTTTTGTTTGGAGCTCAATCTCTAACCTATGTGTGGGGGATGGCAATGATTAATGTCATTTAACTATAAGAGCTTGTGCTTAGAAGAGAAGTTATTAAACATTGTAACATACCATTGAATCGTAAAAATTTCCAAAATATCACCATTAGTTTGAAGTGTTCAAAACTTATGGTCCTTCTATTATTATCTCAATGCAAAACCTCATAATTGCCATTAACCCATAAGAAAAAAAAATGGTGTTTATTTCTAGGGACTTTAACTTATGAAATATTAAGTTTGAAGTGTAGAACGTTTTCATTTTTAGAGTTAGATTGAAGTAAGATGAATTACTAGTATATATCTAATAAGTTAATCACGAGTGTTTAATCAATTACTTTTTCGATAGGTTTGTGAATTTCCTGGTTCATTGTTTGGTCAAGTATTCTACTAATTGTACACACTATCTTGAATGGATTGGAGGATTTTTGTTACCTCCCCTCCAAACNTTGTTTGGTCAAGTATTCTACTAATTGTACACACTATCTTGAATGGATTGGAGGATTTTTGTTACCTCCCCTCCAAACCAATGTTCAGGTTCTTAATAAAGAGTGCTAATTGAGACAAGTTACTCAGATAAAATTTGATTCAAACTTGACTCGTATTCTAAACGAGTTAAAAGTGAAAAAAAATTAGGCTCTTTTTTCTTAAAGACTTGACTTAAACTCGCAAAACTCAGTTCGTTTTATATATAAAATAGTCGACTTGCTTGGGATCGGGCTCAAATCGATTTTTAAGCAAGTCGACTGTGAATAATTTTTTAAGTTTATTTAAAAAAATGAGATTGACAAGCTCAAGTTCAAACTCGAAAAACTCGAATCGATTAAGACCCGTATTCTTAATCAAATGAAAACATTATCGCTTTGAATAAAAAAAAAATTGAGAAATTTTGAAATATATCTGAAATTGGGATGATCAAAATCCTTAGAGCCACGAACAATTAGAAGAATAAAGTGCCAAGTGATTCCTCCAAGTGGGGCACATAGACACCAAAAAGTAACAACATTGTAGAAAAAGTCAGGGGCAGGTTGGGCATCAACTGCCCGGATAGGGTCACTAGATCATAACCAAACCACGTGGGCCGGGGGATTGGTGGCTGAGAATGATCGGGCAGGTTTACGGTCAGGATAAAAAATATCCGGTGGAAGACACGCTAGATATTTCTGGGCAGAACACTGGTCACTCGTGTCCAATGGCAATGAAGCTATTGATATAATAGAGTTTGGTCTTTAATGGGGAGCGTGAACCGGATCAAACTGACACGTGGCGCAACCATATGATAGATTTTTATCTTCGCCCCTCATGATTCTGATCTGTCCACTTGCATGTGTCCCCATTGGGTTGCATACATGCATTGGGTTTATCTGTGGACATCCCATGGTGTTCATGGATGAGTCACCCAGCATGCATGTCAAATTGATCCAAATGAAATTTAAAAAATTTAAACTTAAATATATATTATTTTTTTTAATACGTGAGTCTCATTAATTTTTTTAGCAGAACTTTCTCATCCAATACTCGTTCAATGGATGATATGTATTTAAGTTTTATTTGAATTGTATAGCATTTTTTTAAATTCCACATATGATGTTGGAGTATAAATTAGTTAATTATAAACGGGTGAATTACATTTTATACCCCGAAAGATTTAAAAAAAATTATTTTATTTCTTCAAATATTAAATTTCTTATATCATTATATTTTCAATGT